CGTCGTTGCCAAGCGACGAAAACCCAACTTCGATGGCAAACACCGGGGGGGGGGGGGGGGGGAGGGGGTGACCATATCACAAATCGGGCAAGTGAACGCATTCGGTCTCCACGCTCATGACGAGCAGGACAAAATTGATGTGCGACTCGATCGACCCGACGCGTGTTCCTCGCGGCCCTTGGTTGCGCTTCGCCTGTATCGGAACGGGAACAAGGGCGGCGGAATAGGGTGGCAGGAGCGGGGCAAGCATAGCGACAAGCGCTGTTGCAACCCGACTTTTTGCCCCAGGGAGCACGCAACACCTGAGAGCGGAAACACGTGCAGTGGTGGGTGATGTAACACGGCTGTAGCCAAGTCATCGAAAATATGTCCTATACACTTCTCCCTGGATGAAGACACAAAGACAGGGATATATCCGTTGTGTCGCTATAGGACAAAACCAACAAACAAACAAACAAACAAACAACTCACAGGGCGGTGTAGAAGCCCTCGTGCCGAAACTCGATGTCCGCTCCTGCCTCAATCAGCACCTGAACAGTCTCGACGGAACTCTGCTGCGCCGCGATGAAGAGGGGCCGACGCTGGTCCAACGTGCTAACCTCTACGCTGATCCCTCGCCTGATCAGCTCCGACACGATCTTTGGGTGTCCGTACTGACGAAACAACAACGAGGGGCGTGTGAGCGGGGGTCGCATGCGTGAATGGTGGGAATCATCGCAGGTAGAGGGTGATGTTGGCCACCTGGCCCACTATCGCCTGACAACAGCGATAGACGACGACAACGAGTCATAGTCACGTGCCGGACTACACGTGGACTACCCTAGGTTTGCTTAAGATTCCACACCTAACCACTGGACCGATTTTCAAAGCTCGACTGCGCCAAGACGAAGAGGATACCGAAAAAAATGGTACGTTTTTCAGAAAGCTCTTGACGGGACGGTTCTTACTTCCAACGCCGACATTTTACTGCACCTTCACCGTCTCACTTGCCGAAAAATAGAGCTTTGAAATCGGTCCAGGGGGTGAGATATCTTACGCAACGTACCGTACTACTACACCCACGTATCGATGGTGCCCTTCCCTCCAACGCGAGGCTACCGTACACAATAGGAAACTCTGTCTCCACGACGCTGTTGGTGTTGAATATGAAAGGAACACTTCGTACCCTAGCGGCTACGTGGATGCAGTTGTCTCCATCGCAGTAGGCCAGCGGATCCGCTCCCGCGTCGATCAGGAGCTTGACCATGCCCAGGCGCCCGGCGGACGTGGCCAACGCGAGAGGGGTGTGGCCGCCCGACCGCAGGACTTGGTTCATGCTGTGGCGCCTGAAGCCGGGTTTCCCGATCATCCGTCGAACGTCATCCTCAGACTTGGTGAGGATGGCGACGCCCAGCAAATCGCTGCTGTCCATGCTGAAGCGCTGTTCTGTCTCGTGGTTGGCCGAGGTGTTCGGTACGGCGAGACAAGCCGAGCGACACCCGAGCGACGCTTCAGAGGTTTTCCCCCTGCGCGCGGCGAGAAAAGCGGTGGGGCGTGCGGGTCGGTTCAGGCGGTGTGGTCGCGAACTAATGTGGAATGTCACCACTGCTTGGCAACGGCGTGGCAAAAATACGTCGGTGCCGTGTGTGGGTTCAAGCAATGGGAGTGTTAAAAGTTGGTTGGTTTGGGAGCGCAGACATATACGCAGGTACCGCTCCATATGTACAAAAGGAAAAAAAATCATGCGGCAAAACACATGGCACAAAATATGCCTCTTCTTTGGGCCGGACATTTGCAATCAGCCCCGTTCCCACATTGGACGCTGCAAAGCCCAGTGGGATCACCACTTCGTGCGCCTAACGCAGTTGCCCTCTTTCAAGTATACGGGGTCATACGCAGGGCATGCTCCGCGAGCTAGTATCATATCTATGCACAGCAGTAGTAAACCCGACATTTTCTTGCTTTGAGCTGAGAGCTAGTGCGTTCCTCGCATCTGCACTGAACCTACATCCTCGTGCTCCAGGAAACTTCTCCGGATCATGAGCAGGCGATGTTTGCTACAGAGGTCCGCCTCGATGAATGTCTCCCACTTCCGCCGACAACACAGCACGGCCGACAATCAAACGCGTGAGACATGATACAAGCACACCCTGCCATGTACATACACGCAGGAGGTAGGGGTAGCTATGCATTCCACGGCTAACCATATCGTACCGTGCACCTATACACCACACCACAACATGGTGACACATCCGGCGATCATGTTGCGGCTCAACATGGGCCAATTGTGATCATGCCGCAACTGGAAAACAAGCGCTCGCAGGTCGTTCATTGATTAATTCCACAAGTTGTATCAATCCATGTGGGTTTTGGCCCGGACAAGAGGAAGCTGACGTTGTAGTGTACATGGTTCTGCGCGGATCGCCAAATGGACGCATACAGCGAGACTCGTGCCGCACTTTAGGTTGCATACGTAATATACCACCCCCCTTGAGCCGAATTTCGAAACAATAGTTCCACCGCAGTCATGTACACGGCCGAGAGGATTCCGCTCACGAGTAAATGATACGTTCTCGGAACGCCCTTGACAAGGCGAGTCCAACGCTTCCATTATCGGCACCATCGGTGGTTCTTGTGCAGAGTAATCGGGCTTTGAAAATCGGCGCAGGGATGATTTTTCAAGGTGCAATCCATGTCGGCAGCAGCGGAGAGGGCTCTAACAGCAGTGAGTTGTAGTGGTTGGACTTCTAGTTTTCAAGCGGAACCAACCACCGCCGCATCATGACACAACCGGACCTTCTGCCATCATCTTGAAACTATGCACCTCTCGCTCACCCTTCGATACAATTGAACGTTGCCCTGCTGGGTTCCCAGCTTCCCGCTGTCCTCGTGGTCTGTTGGTGTGCGGTGTGTGGGTGTAGGCCCAGGAATGGGGTACAACGAGAGATGGATGCCTTGGGTTACCGGAAACGGTTTCAACTGTTTCGAATTTCTTCCCCTCGCTGCCTCGGCAAGGTTTTGCGTAGGCATGACCCATAGCGAGGGGGGGGGTCTTTCTAGCGAGCAGGGCTAGACTCACCCTCAAGGGACCGATACCTTCTTGCTGCGGCGCACCCGCGCGCGAGGCGTGCGTAGTGGTGGAGTTGGGTCGGCAATGGTGCGTCAGGTACAAGGTGCAGATGCGCGGGCCTCCAGGCCGTCGGTGCAGGCAGCAATGCTCATCTCATCCTTGTGCGCGGAGGCAGACGTCATCAGAAAGGTGGACGGGCACTATGGCCCTAGGTTTTAGAGGGAGCTCTTCTGTCTCAGTAACGTGGTTTTGCCATCAAAGGAGGAGGGGACAGTTGGTGACGAGCTGATTGGGCTGGTTGACCCTTCGGTGCGAGAATTTTTAGACCAAGAACCCCAAAGAGGGGCCGTTTTATACATTCCAATTTTTTGTTCAAAAGTACAAATTTTCCGATATTCCGGAACTTGTACAGAGGCGTTTGTCCAAATAGATTAACAGAAAATGGAACGAACCTGGACGCCAAAAATTGTACTCAGTAGCTTCCAAATTTTCCAAATTTATTGGAGCATCACAACAAACCCAGCAGCTAAAGGACCTACACCCTGCCAACTACAAGGGAGAAGCAGCAGCGGAGGGTACTTGAATAGTGGCAGGGCCATGGCGGACCGCAGGAAACGCGCTCTTGGTTCGTCGTGTGCTGGCCCACCGAGCCAACGATTCAGGCGTGCATCCGGTCGCCAAGAGCTGGTGCGGCAGATGAAAGCAGCTGCTGCTGTGGTGGTTCTCGTGCTGAGCGCAGCGGCAGTGGTCACCTCTGTAGCTGTGCACGCTAGCGCTAACAAGACGCGTGCGGCTATCCACGAGCCACGGCGCCTGGTTTGGGAGGATCACGCTGCTGACCTCAAGAAGCGGAAGCTCTTCCGGAGGATGTATCGCATTGAGGAACCGGTGTTCAACAAACTGGCTGGGTTGCTGGAACCGATCCTCCAACGGAACGACTACTACGCAAGTGAGAATAGAGAGAGGGCGGGAGTAAGAGATGAGGGGGCGGGGGGGCAGGGAGAGAGAGAGAGAGTGTGATTGACGTACGAGGCGCAGAACTCATGCCGTGGTGTTTTTCCCGTCCTTGCGTTTGTTGCTGATGCTGAAGTGTAGCATTGCAGAAGACCACGGTTGGTATATTGGTTAAAAGTGTAGACTACTGCTGTAGGAACAAGGCGAATCATCCCGCAGCACCACCGCCCGCACTCTCACACCAGCAGGACGGTTTACACCAGCAGGACGGTGACCTCCGGTGTCTGACTAGGGTTAGGGTAACAGTTTCACCGCCCAGCACTTGCTATTTTCGTCTGCTGATACGTTCACGCTATGCTTATTTTGTGCTTCATACGAAACAGGAAAACGGTATCGACGCGGTGCTGTTCCCACGAAGATCCGACTAGCTATCGGCTTGCGGATGATGGCCGGTGCTTCGTATCTCGATGTCGCCGTGCTGTTCGGCGTGTCCAAGGAGACGGTCTTCAGCATCTTGTGGCAGGTGGTGGATGCCATCAACAGCACAGCAGAGGTTGGGCCGTTNGTGCTGTTCCCACGAAGATCCGACTAGCTATCGGCTTGCGGATGATGGCCGGTGCTTCGTATCTCGATGTCGCCGTGCTGTTCGGCGTGTCCAAGGAGACGGTCTTCAGCATCTTGTGGCAGGTGGTGGATGCTATCAACAGCACAGCAGAGAGAGGTTGGGCCGTTCTTTTTTCCGCAGAGCGAGGATGAGTGCACCCGGCAGGCGGCAGAATGGGAGGTGCGGAAATGATACACTAGTTTACAGCAGCAGAGTAGATTGAATGTTTGCATTCCAGGTAGGTGACTATGATGTTGTGAACGAACACATGATCGTGTTTGGTGGCGGTTTAGGTTCAACATTACTTCGAATAAAGATTACAGCATGCGAACAGACGTACGTGCGAACATGGCCAAGAACAGGCAAGGCGGCGAAAATGGACAGAAAGGTGTTGTGCTGTGGTATGCCTACTGGGTCTGGTGTCGGAAGAGCAGTTCAACTTCACCTCTTCCGTAGGCTGCANGTTCAACATTACTTCGAATAAAGATTACAGCATGCGAACAGACGTACGTGCGAACATGGCCAAGAACAGGCAAGGCGGCGAAAATGGACAGAAAGGTGTTGTGCTGTGGTATGCCTACTGGGTCTGGTGTCGGAAGAGCAGTTCAACTTCACCTCTTCCGTAGGCTGCAGGCCTCCTAACGTGTATGGTACACAAGCAAGGCACCACGCTGCAGAGTTTGGCCCAAAACAAATGACGCGGATTGCATGGATGCATGCATGTCGGTCCTCCGATCGGCAGAATATCCTGCTCGTCTAGACGCACCGAATACGGAGCGAGCGGGAAGCACTTGTGACAGCACGGGTAAACCTCAATATCTTGTGTCCACGTATTGGCTTGATGCACGGCGAAATGAGCTCCAGTCTGCAGGGAACATTGGCACGAACAGTCGCACTGTATTGATTGGCATGTCTAGGAGAGGGCTCGTCTTTGATTGCTCGCACAAGCCTGTACAATTTTTCTGGGGTAGTCGATGGGCTTGCCGCTGCCCGAAAATCAAACTTTAACGAATCTAAGAGCACCTCTGTTGTGTCCCTCCCCGCACGCCATGTCTATCCTCAGGAAAAAAGCACGGGCGGCGCCTTTCAAGGTGTAGTAGCTGCGGGGGATGGCCTCTTCGTGAAGACTCTTGCTTCGACTGCCCTCAACACTCCGAACGTTCTCTCGTATTATTCTGGGAGCAAGTGCGGCTACGGGATGAACGTACAGGCGACATGCGATGTCAACTACCTGTTTTGCAGCATGTCTTGCATTGCACCAGGCTCGACCAATGACTGGACGGCATGGAACCATTCGGATCTATCCACAGCGGTGAAAAACCTGCCGCCAGGCTTTCTACATGCTCGGAGACGCGGCTTACCCCCTAAGCGACCACCTGTTGACCCCGTACCCAGGGAGGGGACTGCCGCTGGACAAAGATGCGTTCAACTTCTCTTTGAGCCAACTCAGAGTCAGGATCGAGCAAGCGTTCGGCATTCTCGTCGGCCAGTGGGGCATCCTGTGGAAGCCGTTGCGTGTTCAGTTCGCTGGGCGCTGCGTCCTCGTCACGGCGCTCTTTCGCGTCCACAACTTTCTCCGGGACGAGCAGGTCACACCAATCCACCGGTCGGAAGAAGTCGCCGAGGTGGTCCAGGTACGCCCCCACCTACTCGGCGACAAGACTCTGCCAGGAACTTTCAGCACGACCACCAAGACCACCAAGGACGCGCAAAAACCGACCAGGTCAGGCGAAGCCTCCACGCGCAAGGGGATCACGATGATGCTGGACAATAAGCGCCAGCACTGCCCAAAGCACAACTTGGTGCGCAACGCAGCGAGGAAGACGTAAGGGGTCGAACGCGGGCGGGTTGCGGTGGAGGGTGGGTGGGTCCCGAGGACGTACTACGTGGATGATGGACGAGACGAGGCAAATGCGGCGGTGGTGGCCTTTGAG